TCTTTACAATTTGAGTATCAAATTTTTTTTTTTTGTGTAATCAAATCAAACAATCTTGTTGATCAATATTCGAACATACTTTTCACACGTGTATGTGTGTGACCCGACTCAATAAATAAAAGACACATAGATTTGTTTAGCCGGATTTGCTAATTGTCGAACAACTTAAAAAAAGTGAAATTACAAAATACCTTTACCTCTAAATTAAAATAAATGGTGGGATTTTGAGAAAACCCTAGATTATGTAATCAAACATATCGTTCTCTTCCCTCCTCTCTCTCTCTCCTCACACTCTTCCCTTTCACTACCACCACCCCCTCCCTTCCTCTAATTTAGTGATGCGGCCAACCTCAATCCGACCCTTGAACTCAATGAATCAAATTCTAGGATCATTTTCATTAGGATTACCTCGAAATTTAATAAACTTAGGAGGTGGAAGCAAGAGGAATTATAAATCCGACTCTTAAACTCAATGAATTAAATTCTAGGATCATTTTCATCGGGATTACCCCAAAATTGAATAAATTAGAAGGAGGAAGCGAAAGGAATTATAAAAGTAATAGTAGTTAAGGAAAAATGAATTTGGGCCTACAAAGTCTAGCTAATAGTTTAGACAAAGTCTAACCAAATTGATTACCAAAAAGATCCAACCAAAAAAAAAAAAAAGTTGTGGAGATAATTTCCCAAGCCAATCGAATCCGGCCTTGATGTATTTTTCAAGGTCGAGTGGAAAGGTTTTTTTAAGAGCCAAACCATTGAGGAAATGTGGAACCCAATGGCAATCTATAATTTCAATGTCTTGAAGACTAAAAATAGAAACCCGACCACTCATTTCTTATCTCGATAGCGAGAGAGATTTTTATCGATGATACTTAGAATCTCTCAAGCTTTGAAAGGCTCAAGAAATGAGTTGTAGACACAATACCTCTCCAAAAATTTGACTTTAGATTCGGAGAAACTAATCTTAATAATTGTCCAATGCTATCGAGGATCATTCCATTCATTGCATTGGTCTAATGTCTCTAAATCGATCAACCTTCCAATAGATGATGGAATTGAACTCGAAAAGGAGTTGCTATGAAGATATAGAGATCTCAAATACTTAAAATGTCCAATCAACTTAGGTATCTCGTCCACTCAATTTTATTACCTACCCGTTGTAATCGTTCTAAACTAGTATCACTACATTCGAACGGACCCTCAACAAGTTCAACTATCTCACCACTAATATCAATATTTGACATATATAAAAGCCGCAAGTTGCAAAGTTTTCTCTAGAAGACATGATCTATGGGGGCTTTAATTCTAGAAATACCAAGGTCAAAGACCTCGAGAATACTAAAATTGTACAACTAGAGAGGCAAACAATTTTTTAAATTATTATCTCCTAAGGCAAAGGATCCTAGGAGCACTTAAATTCATTATTAGAAGAGAATCAAGAAAGTTTCTTAGATCATGATTTTGCAAATGTAATTGCGATAAAGAAGGAAGCATATTAGCAATTTGCATCCAAGTGTTGGATGCCAAACTAAGGTTGATGCATCCTAGATTCAAGTACTCCAAATGAGAGAATCTAGCGATCCAATTCAGATTAAAAACAAATGTATTATCAATAACATATGCTTGATAGGAATAAAAAAAATAGATTAAGATAGTTAAGGTTTGACAAGTTAAGAAAACTTTTTTCTTTTTTCAATATAACACACATAAAATGGAGTAGATATGAAGGATAGAAAGAAGGAAGGAAATGATGGGTTTTCTTTGGTATGCTAACCGGAAAAAGGAGAAAAAAGGATGAAGTGTTTTTCCTTTGTTTATTTTAGTGAGTCTCGCTTGGATTTTGGAGGGAAAAAATAAAGGGTGAGGGAGGAGAGAGAGAGAAGAAGAGAGGGGAAAAAACTAAGGGAAAATAAGTTTAAGAGTAATTCCATCAATTCACTCTCATATGTCTATCATATTTGATCAACGAGCATCAAAACACTTGATTATTAATCAAAAAATAGTTATAATACTTGAACTGAAAAAAATTTAATTGAAAGTACTAATTTATAGTTAACGCATAGTACATGATGATATCTAACCAATAATATTATCGAACTAATTAACTATAATTATTAATATGTCACGTGAAATCACAACATAAGTAAACTAACCGAATGAAATCACGAAGAAGATAAATAAATATAAGGGTCGGGAATAAAATGAGAACCAAAATTGAATAGAGAAATCGATATATCCAGAAGTCAATAGTACAAAGACACATCAAAATAAAGTAAAAGAGTTGATATTACTGAAAATTAATAATACAAGTATACACAATAATTTTTTCCGTTGTTTTATTGGGCCGGATGTACTACTCAATAATAATTAAAAAAACTTTTACAAAGAAAAAAAAAAGCAATGAAGCAGATATTTAGTATCTATCCGACTACTACATATAAATGAATTTATCATGCTAATGAAAGAATTATATTTATTTCTTCTTTTTTTAAAAGTTCGAATTTGAGATTTTTTTTTTAAAAAAAGAATCATCTAAGCTATAGTTCATTAGCAAAGGTGTTACATGTCATGAAAAGTTATCTCATTGTGACTACGAAATTGATAGCGACACACTAAGACTATTTTTTAATTTCTTTCTCTAAGTTAGCTTAAAGAGCAGACACAAGTTTTAATTTTTAGTGACGTCAACTCTTAGTTAAGATTTATAATTAACAAAACAACTAAAAAAAAAGTAGACTTATTGCTATTTAATACTTGTTTATTCTCTCTCAGTTTATAGTGAACCAACGCCTAGAACACCTGTTTGTGTGCCTCAATTGTTAATACTTCCTCCTCCTCTTTATTTATGGCCATCCGATTTCCTTTTCGATTTCATCTATTTTGCAAGTTGGTTATTTATTACTCGTGTATTTTCACTCTATTTTCATTTTAGCCACTCGCTTGCTGCTTTCTTTCTTTCTTTTTTTTTTTTTTTTTTTCCTTTGGTTTGCTTTTGCAAGTGGTTTAATTATTAGTCCTGTATTTTGTGTATATTTTAATTTTGCTACTATCTCTTTTGTTATTTTGTTTTTCTGCATGCGCAGGCGGGCAATTTGCAATGGACCTGTGTGCAATCTTTCCTTAGGCCTGCAGAAGCCAGGAGCGTCGACTTGCCTTTTTTTTTTTTTTTTCAATAATTTATGTTCATTTTTTTATTATTATATTGGATGTAAAAAAAAAATTTTTTCTATATAATCTAACAATTATGAAATATATATGAAATATTTTTTTAATTTTAAAATGAACATATATGTCGAATTATATTACTTTTATTGTTCAAAATTAATCTCTTCAATTTGTAGTTTTTTATAAAATTTTTCATCAAATTAATTTTTTATTCTTCTTTTCTATATAATTTTATTTGTTGATAAATAAAATTTTATTTTCTTTATGTGTAAATTTTCAAATAATTTTTTTAAAAAATAATCAATTAAAAAATAGAATTCAAGTATTTATTTGTTTAATTTCATATAATTAAATTCTATCGGAATCAAGGTAGTTATTTTTATTTCACTCTATAAACTTTAATATGTTCCTTATGACTTATTTAAAATATATATATATATATATATATATATATATATATATATATATATATATATATTTATTTATTTATTTATTTATGCTAGACACTCGACTCACTCGAATATGGTCATAATTCATTAAAAAAAAAATCGCTGGTTTTATTGAAAATTAATTATATATCTACACCCATAACACTAATCATTTTCTATTATTATTTTTTAAATAAAATAATTGAAATAATGTTTTAGAAGAACCACCTCATAATTCAAATATAGGTTTTTATAATAATATTATCCATTATTTTATAAATAAATAAATAAAAATAAAATGTATATATTTTTAAAAAAATTAGTCTTCTAATCAGCATTAAACAAAGATGAAAAAGATTCATTCTTAATTTTTAAAAAAGTTTTTATATTAATTTTTGTTGTATTTCCTTGATGTAGTCTTATGAAAAAATTATTATGTTTTTTTTTTAATTTTTAATTTAGATTATTATAAGTTTTTATTTAAAAATAAATACATAAAGAAGAACAAATGAAAAACATAAATACAACAATTAAATACAAAATTTTGATTAAAAATTATGAAATAAAATAAATTTTTATTTGTTATTTTTTAATTTGATATATTTTAATAGATTGATAATATAGTATAAACAATTAAATTAAAATTTTAATAGAGCAATAATATAATATAAATAATTAAATTAAAATAAATATTTTTATTTCAATCCCTAAGCCTACTAGTTTCTACTAAAAAAATTTTACATTCACATTCTGAAATAGTAGTGATTATTGGAGTGGAGTGGAGAAACAGGATTGCAGCCTTGCAGGAGGACTAATTAACCTTACAAAAGAAATTGCGTAAGTAATTATTTTAAAAGTGACCACACAACCCCACAACAACATCTGCTAGCATCGGCATTTGTAGCTTCCTTTGTGAATTTAAGCGTCGATTCATAGGTCGAGGAGGGTTGGACAATCTAAATTTAAAACATCTACTCACTAGCGGATAAAGTGAAAGATGGATAATCTCTCAGGATGACAACATTATTCACAATAGATATGCACCGTTTGGGATATCAACTTCGAGATATTCCCAAGACGGAAGAAGTAAGAAAGGATTCATGGGAAACGTAAGACCAAAAATTATGACAAGTGTCCTACCACCTGTAATCTAAAGCAAGCATGGAAGGCCTTATTGGTTTACACGTATCTTGTACCTATACACTTTACATGTCTATAAAGCATCTCCGCTAAATTCCTGGCAAGGCAGATCCAAATTAAGCTAGCGCGAGCAGGTTGAAGTGTAGTTGAAAGAAGGATATATTGAAGTGGTGCAAAGTATCTCTGTCTATAAAGCCGGACTCTGTTTTTGTGGGCTCGAAGAGATAAGAATCGAGGCGAAGGAAAAACAAGAAAAGTTGAAAGAGAATGGCACAGACGGTGGGAAGAAACGTAGCAGCTCCGTTGCTGTTTCTTAACTTGCTTATGTATGCTATTGCCTTGGGCTTTGCTAGTTGGTGTACTAACAGGTACATCAATGGCCAGACCAACCACCCAAGTAAGTCTCTCTCTCTCTCTCTCTCTCTCACCAGTAGGCTAAAAATACTCTAAAAGATTGGAAAAGAAAAAACAAGTTTTAAGTTGAAGATAGGAATGACTTCATATCGTGTACTTTCCTAGTGATTAAAACAGCCTTCATCTTCAACATGTAGGAGGTGTTTTGGCAGTTGCACTCATCTTTTATTTTCCTTGATTGTTTTCCTAGTTATGGTTATAAATTCTTTTAATTTGTTTGGCTAATTGAAAAATAAATAAATAAATCTCCAGGTTTGGGAGGGAATGGAGCAACAGGATTATTCCTGACCTTTGCAATATTAGCTTCTGTTGTTGGCATAGTATCTAAATTGGCAGGTGGCACCCACGTCAGGGCGTGGAGGAGTGATAGTCTAGCTGCAGCAGGATCAGCTTCGCTGATTGCTTGGGCCATCACTGCCCTAGCCTTTGGGTATATTATTTGACAAACCAATCTACTTTGTAGAGACAAAAAATCACTCAATTAAGTCTTCTTCTTCTTTTTTTTTTAAAAAAAAATTCTTGTTTTCAGGCTTGCATGCAAGGAGATAAACGTAGGAGGCCACAGGGGTTGGAGACTGAGGGTAGTAGAGGCGTTTATAATCATTTTGACATTTACGCAGTTTCTGTACGTCTTGTTGCTTCATGCTGGAATGTTTAGCAGCAAGTATGGTCCGGGATACCGCGACAGAGACTATGGCATTGGAGCCGGTACTGGCGAACCTATACATAAGGGTGGTGCTGTTCCGGTAGCTGGCACTAGGGTTTGATTTGAATAACTAAACTAAACGTGTTTGTACCATATATAGTCTCTCTGGTTATTTTCATTTCCTTAGCAGGGACTATTAACTGGATCCTGTTTGATTTTTTTTTTTTCTCTCTCTCTCTTTTTTGGTGTGTTTCGTCCCTTAGTCTGTAATTTGGTTATGATGGTAAAAATTGTGTTGTTTTATGTTGGAATTGAGACTGCAGTAGAACATCATGTAATAAGAATGGCTTTGTCCTGATGCTCGAAAAAAGAGAACTGACTTGTCATTATCTGGATGACTTTGCCTTATGTATGGATTATTATCTTTTTGGCTTTCATTTTGATGTGACCAAATTAGCTGATGCAGAGGCACAAAAAATTACATATGATATCGGTTGCGTATGCAATCTTGGAGTAGACATTTCCATCTTTTTAGAGAAACATAAAATAAAATAAGGGAGACTCAATATAGCCTTTAGAGGAAAAAGAAACCGACGATTAATGTTATAGCAGATAGTCATAAGCCTCCCTTGCTTAGGAGTATCATAAGCAAGAATTAAGCAAATGTGAAGGCCAGACGAGCAACTGTAGGTCTGCAACACGCAAGCTATACCATCTGTTTGACTAGCTGACGAGGTTGTAGATGACCAATAATTTGTTAGAATTAATCAAATGTGAAGGCCAGACGAGCAACTGTAGGTCTGCAACACGCAAGCTATACCATCGTTTTGACTAGCAGATGACGTTGTAGATGACAAATAATTTGTTAACGGGCGTGCATTCTTAAAGAGTATCCTAGTACTTTAATTATCAAAAGCTTTCACAAGAAAAAAGAAATAGAAAAGAAGAACAGATATGGAATAGAACAACATTTTGGCTTCTGAAACAATGCCTGTGGTGTCAATTTTGTTCAAGATGTACCAATGTCATACAAGCTGTTTTGAACTGGAGCGCTAAAGGGTGTAATCATTTAATGTAATATAAGCAGTACTGAAAAGTACAGAATAAAGGTATTTGGACAATATTTCTACATCAAGAAAGAAAGAAAATTTCTTCTTAGCTTGGCTGGCGCTCATTTTAACCTTTTCCACAACAATCCTCATATAGCTTGTACATAAACAAACGTAGGTACATAGCTTGTAAACAAATGATATTTTCAGTCTACCTCTCTCCTAATCTCCCAAAATTTAATCCTAATCACCTCTCCGCACCAGCATTACAGTCAAAGTACACAGCTTGTGAACTATAAAAAAAAAAAAAAAAAAAACGCAGCTAAAAGAACATTCTAACTAGAACAGCCATCGGATATCAGCAACAGACTCCTCGTATGGCAATCAAGCATTAACTCTCAAAATTGGATAACTTGTTTAAGCTTCAGTCTCAAAATAATTAGGGTTAGTTAAGTTTACCCCTTCTCACATTCTGTTCTGCTCATTCCATTCTGTTTTAGGGGCAAACCTTCTGTGTTCCTTATAAGCTATTACTAAATACTAACAATACCAAAAATATACCATGAAGGAACAATAATGGAACATGAAAAATGGGTCAGAGACGGGGAGCGCTTTATGAACAGGATTCCTAAAACATAACGTTCTTTTGATACCAAAACCATGCTTAAAACAATACCATGATAAGTGCGGGGAGAGAGAGAGAGAGAGAGAGAGAGAGAGATGGAGAATAAAAAGAGCAGGGGGCTAACACAACACTACATACTACAGAGTTGAGGCACCTCAAGTTGAACCTTCATTGATATAACCTTGCTTGGAACCTTCAAAACCTGGCCGCATGAGCTTTTTCTCCCTCTTCTCTATCCGCCGCATCTTCTTCTGCTCAATTCTGCCAGATATATTCTTCGATCTCTTTTGTTGTTTTTCTGCTTTCATTTTCTGCTGGGATTCAACCCTTTCCTTCCACTTCTCAGTATTCTTTTGATGCCTCTTGTTACCCTTCTTTAGGCTCTGTTTCAGAAGCTTTGGATCATCATGAACTTTAATCCCTGCAGCTCTACTTGTCGCTGCTTTCCAAGAATGCTTCTTCGAGATAGCACCACCTTTCTCCGGGTCTTTCTTCGCTTCTTCCAATTCCTTTGCCATTTCAAGCTCCTTTAACTTTGAAACCTTCCTCTTCTTCTTCATCCCATGCTCTTCTTCATTCCCCATTTTAACATGACTAAACTTGAGCTCCTTTGTAGCTTCTTCTGCATCCTTCTCCACCCTTTCCAATGAAGTACTTTTGCCAGGCTTCTTTTCTTCAGACCCAGATTCCCTCTTGCGTTTGTCTTGCCGAATCCCTCTCACCTCCTTCCTCCTCTTTGCGTTCTCTGAACTACCACAATTTCTATCTCCTCGAAGCTCTTCAATTTTACGACGAAGCCTTTGTCGGAGTTCTTCATAAGTGACTGATTTGTCATCATTTTCTAAACCAGACATCATTGGATTAATCTCCACTTCTACACCATCACTCTCACTGTTTGATTTTTCCTTCTCCAAATTTTGCATCAACAAATCAAGGGTTGTTGCAGAAGACTTCTCAGGATCAAGCCGATTTCTCCTTGCTTTCTTGATATTTTCCCTTGCCTCCTTCTTTGCTGAAGCTTTTGCACCCTTACTGAGGCCGTGAAACCATGGCTTCTCTTTGTCATCAGTTGGTAGATAGAACTTAGCAGGGATGAGTTCAACCAACTTGTCAAAAAACAAAGAACTTTGATGAATGAGAGATTTAAGATTAACATCAACATCTGATTCACTGACAAGAATTTGCTTTTCCTTGACCATTTCTGCCTTGAAACAAATACAAAACAACACAAAAACGACAACAATCAGTCTGACACCAAAGAAAATAGGTAGTAGCTAACAACTCAGTCCAATTGCACTATTTTCGAAGGAGCTCAAGAAAAGCAGACAGAATCCAGTTTCATATCATCAACAACCAGCAACGTTACGTATTTCGGCATCAGAAATTTTATCATTGCAATAATTAATAATTTTAATTCAGTCACATCGGAAAAATACATTCACGACACAACAATATTTAACAATATACTTCGTAAAAAGTAATAAACATAGAGAAGAAAACCGAATCAAGAATCAGCAAACACACGGCCAAGTTACATGAAACATTGAAGATTAATACTGAAAACTAAATCTCAACTATCAAAAACACAAAGCATATGTCTTTCTTGAACAGATAATAAAAAGGCAACCCTAGATGAATGAGAGAGAGCAGAGGCTTACCTGTCAGAAGTAGACGGGAGGAGGAAGAGGAGTCAAGAAGATGAAGAAACCCAAGGAACCCTAGATGAGCTTTTTCAAGGAGCGTAAATTAGGAAAACAAAGGCTGGCAAGCCATAGCGGGTCGGATCATATAACTGGAAGATGGGCCTCACTGGGCCGAGTCAGGTCAATAACCGAAGCTTGAGACCGTGAAACAATTAGACCCTTAGCCCAATTTGTTCTCAATTTTATTAACTTGAGCTGCTCCTTCTGGGTTGGGCTGTAAATTGTAATTATGGGGGTTTAATGGCATTTTTTCCTTGAATGTACCGTGGCACATTGGGACATCTAGTGTCAATTTGATAATTTTATCCTTAAATTATTATATTTCAAGTAAATATTTTTTTTTATTTGACCATTATTATTGAAAAAAATTAATTTTTTTTTATATTTTGAGATAACTTTTTTTTTCACATATGCTGATAAAAATTCAATCTACATTCAAATAATTTCAAAAGAGATTTAGATCAAAAAGAATTTCTTTTAACTTTTCTTAAACAATAAATATTTATAATTTCCCCCTCAAATATTGGTATTGCGGCGCATTGCAGCATGGACTATCAACTTGATCAATTTTATCCTTAAACTATCATATTTTAAACAAATATTGTTCTTCCATTTGATTTGACCATTTCAAAATTTTTAATTTTTTATATTTGAACTAAAATTTTTCACTTATGTTAAGAAGAATTCAATTTACTTTCGAATAATTTCAAAAAAGATATAGGTCTAAAGGTTTTTTTTTTAACTTTTCTTAAACAATAAATATTTATAAAAGTGCAAAAAAAAAATAATAATAATAATTTGAAATGATCCCAAATTTTGTTAGAGGTTATAAAAAATCATATAAATTCATGGGCTTGTTTTTAATATAATTCTCAAAATTTTGTATGGTAAAATACGTGACACTTAATCAAGCTTAAAATATGTTAATTTTGAGAACCACACATGCAAAAATTAAGAATTGCACTAAACTCACCTATGTAAATTCATATGACCTCTTTAGGATTCCCAAAAAAAAAAATAATTATAGCTTATTTTTATTTTTATAATTTATTTTTTTATTAAAAAAAATACTTTTTGAGTTCAAAAAATTTTGAAATTACATTGAATTTTCATTAGTATCAATGAAAATTTTTAATTGAAAATACTAAAATATGAATTTTTTTAGGATGAGTTTTGATCAAAGGTCAAAGTTTGACTCGTTAACTTAACGATCAAATGAAACATGCCGACCACAAAGGATCATGGCCACGATGGTTGTAATTTTGATGATAACAAAAGAATTGATATTAATAATATTCTGCTTGAGTGTTGTGATGCTAAAATATATTTTTCAAATACATAAGATGAGCAAACTTGTTAATCAAAGGAATTGACTAATTCAAGCATTGAGAATGAACTTGAAAGACTTATTTATACTTGATTTTGATTGCATAAAATTTATAAAGAAAAGGAGAAAGGAGAAAGACGAATCAGCTAAACAAAGGCAAAGCTGGCTAAATAGAGATCTAGGACCGGTTGACCTATCCCGCCTTCTATAAGGATAGGGCAAGCGAAGTGGAATCGTTTGAGTAGGCCCAATACTCACCTAGTTGAGCCCATGACTTGCCAAGTTGAGTTTCTACACAATCTAACTTGTTTTGGCAAGATTTTTTTGTGACGATTAGGTCTACTTTATAGGAATTCTTTCTAAATGGTTAATGTCTTATTGAACAAAGATTCTCTCCAATTGATAATCTTTACTTGG